AACATACCTTTATGTATTTTGTGTCTTGACTCCTTACTTTCAATCGTCTGATTGTATTAAGAATTGAAGCTGACACATACAGCCTCGTTTTCAAACGCGGAAGTGCGCAGATCAACGCTAAAAGCGTCGTATTGGGATCCCTCTATGGCAATGCTGTTATACAGAACAGGCTCCTTGGCTTCCAAAGTTTTTGCACCCTTTCAGCATGTAGTGGAAGTTTTCCTTGAGGAAATGGACTTCCTATGAGATCTACCCAAACGGTGAAATAAGGAAAAAAATACACACCGAACAAAATGCCAGAAATCTGGTGGTCTTTATTTTCTGCTCATTTTTTTATGCATGAAATGAAAGTTAGAAATATTGGCCCCAAATCCTCATGCACGTACCAGAGCCAGAGATGAGTGCATGGGCAACTGAAAATTGCTTTATCAAACAACTGCTATATTGAACATTTTGTGTAGACCCATCAAGTTTGTGATAGCAGCCTTGTTACTGTCAACACACATGTAGCAGGAGGAATGATAACCACCAAAACCATAAACCATGTACCTGATTAGAAGGAAAGGAATTTCCAGTCATCTTTGGCATTGGGCATATTTGCCTGGATTTCAACATCAAATAAAACCCATTTCCCGTTCTCACTACAGAAATTCTGACAACTGACATACACACCCATGCTCCCAGATGAATGGCACGGTCTGCTTCACACTTTTCCCTGTCTTCAAATGAGAACCCCGTCAGACCAAACTGCCTGACTTCAAGACGCGCTCTCTTGAGATTGAATTCCCCTTGGCTAGGGTTGGTTTCATCTTGATCAACAACCTGGAAAAGAATATGGGATGTGCGTAATGTTGAGCTCATAAGCTGGACAGGCCAAGACGCTCTACACAGAGTGAAGGGAGGATGCAATACCCAACTGGTAAAGACTCTAAATGGAGTAGGTGGAAAGGCTTGAGGTAGCACCATGCAAGGAATAGATCTCTTATGAGTAATTCCACTCTAAATGGAGTATGCAAGTGTGGCACACCTGTACCCAGTGTGGACCGCCACACAAAACGAGTCCGTATGTATGTACACAGGGTTGGATGATGTACATGTATGTCCACTCACTGTTCTCCCCTTTCTGAAAAACAGCTTCACAGGCATTTGGGGGCAGGTTCCAAATGGAGAGGAACAAAAAAATCATCGAAAATTCAGCTTGAAGGAGTTATCATAGTGGAAGAAAAAGAGAGCATTCTCTTCAAACTTTCTGACACACAGGAGAATAAAGGAATAGCCACACTCTATGTACATGTTCATGAACATAAGTTCCTTTGAGTGTATCATCATTTACTCCTGTAGCACAGCTCATGGAGTGTATTTTCTTCAGGTGAAAGTCAAATTTGAAGGGTGTACTAGACAGGATATCAGCCACAGGTGTGCCTGGCTATCGTCTGGATATCCTGTGGGTCATTTTGGACTCGCACTTTTACTATGGTGACACATCACTTAATGTGCTTGTTGCTATTTCAAGGCAAATCACATGGAATTTAAGGCATCATAAGGCTGCAATTGTCAAGCAACTGGCTAAAGATTTTAGAGGGTGTGACTGCTTGAGTTTCGGTACCTAAACAAGACGTGCAACATTAATCAGGATTGTCTGTATTGTATGATTATTGTGAACATGTGCTCTACAGTTAAAAAGAAAATACAACACAAAGTTTTGAAGAGTCACTCAAATGATTGAACCTTCTTCTTTTTCCGCCTGGTTGGATCTTCAAACACAATCACTTCTGGGGCAGGTGTCTTCGTCTTTCCTCCCTCCTGCCTTTGCTCCGCCTCTTTTCTCAGTCTTTGTCTCTGCAACTCTTCCTCTTTGAACTGTCTCAGTTCCTCCTCAAAATCCATCACCTCTCTGCCCTGCTTCTTCCTTGCCGACTCCTCATCTCCCTCTGATCTGGTGCCTGATGGTTTTTTCTTCCCTTTTTTCTTCTTTCTTGTTTTGTTCGAGGAGGAAAATGAAGGATTTGGAGCAGCATTTGTGTGGTCATTGTGCCAGTTGACAGACTGCTCTTTGGTTTTAGATTTAACCTTCTCAATCTTGGATTTCTTTTGGTCACTGTCCTCCTCATCAAGCAAATTATCTCCTGCTTAAACAAAATAAATGTTACAGATCATCCTGAAAGTAGTTTCATGGTGAAGTTTTTTCAAGCAAGAAGAACAAAAGTTGTTAAAACATCACTACAGGTAAAGGTTACAAATTACAAGGACAACATATACATGCGGTAAGTGTGACAGTTCTGGACAAACAGGTCAGGAGGATCACTTGGTTACATGTACCATGTGAACATGTTATAGACCTGCACAGAAGTATTCAAGTACAGTGGAACGCCGCTATACCGAACATTCGGCTGTACCGAACATCGTCCTTGGCTCCCAATAATTTGTTCACAGAACCTACCGAACACTATTCAGTTGCCGTTTGTAATTCCCCAACGTCAACATGATAACACAGTGGGTGTTTTTTTATGTTGGAAAGTGACAAGTGGCCATTATTTCCCCAAGGATTAGAAGGGAAAGCCACTAGTTGTCAACGGTATTGAATAGACACTGGTTTTGCGACTCCACATGATCGGGTGCAGAAGAAAACCGCACATACGTGCACGGTGGCATTACACTAACAATAGTCTAAAGATGGCGCCGCTGATACACAAATCAACCGAGATTCACCACAGCATGCATCAGAAATCGATCCTGAGCGGTAGTTTCACGACTCTAGGATAAACTTGATATCAATTTTTGGCTCAAGTTTGAATTAAAAAACAAAAATAATTAACAAATACATTTCTAGAAACGTTAAACTTGAATGCAACGGCAAAACATCACGAAAACAGCGAACCAAGGTATCACAAAAGGGTGCCGGTGCACTTCAGTTAGACAAGAGAGGGCAGTTAAATTTGCTAAATCGAACGACTGCTGTACGGAGCATTTAGCGAGGACCCCGTCTTGCTCATTATAGCGGCATTCCACTGTACAGAGTAACAAGACTTTTGACTTATTTTCTTCATCAATTTTGAAGACTGTCAGTTTTTCAGTCTAAAAAGGAATGTTGGAAACTGCTTGAACATTACCACATGCACATATGCAGTTCAACAAAATTTATTTTGGAAATGCGTGGAAAGACAATACATGTAGATACGTGCAAAGTGTTTTTTCAGGCTCCATATTTTTGATAACGCCCTCAATAGTTAGCGATATCGTCATTTGGTGTGCATGTACTCATCAGACATCCAACATCAATCAAAAAGTTTATCCATTTTGTAGACAATTTAAACCACTTCAGGTTTAAATTTTGCCTATCATGCGTACACAAAATAGGGTAGGCCTAGGCCTAAAAAGTTTATTCTCTGCTGATACCGGTATTTTGTCCAAATACTCACTGAAAACGCTTTTAATTCGCACACAGGCCTAGCTGCAAAAAAATAATGCCGAGGTGGCGATCGATCATCGGCAGTGAATTAACGTCAGTGAGTTTCACGGCGAGAAAGTTAGATGTGCGAATGCATGAATTTAGCCCGAGGAAGGTAGGCTACTCCACCGTATCAGTGACGTGGGTGACGTTCGTCAAGTGTGTCTGTCATGATTATGGAACTACTCATGATTACTATGCGTTTTCCTCACCATATTCGTTTAGTCTATTCAACAGCTGTCGCTGTAATATATCGTCCATGTTGTCTCCATCTATATTTGACATATTGGGTACGATTTTGATGACTGTGACTTCCCAAAGTAGCACGTTTCACCTCACACTCCCAGTAGGGGGCCTACGCGCAAGATAGACAGTGTGCTGGCATCGCATGTATTGCGTTGTAAGGAGAACGCCCTCTATCAAGCGTTATGAACATCACGACTCCACGTGCAAAATTTCTTGGGTTATGAACGGCACCCAGTCTCATCGTTCGTCAGTCATCGCACTGCCGGTTGTCAATGGGAACCAGACTACAACTTGATGCGAAAGGCGTAAAGTTTGAACAAGGACACGGCCTATACACGGCCATGTCAGAAGACGAGTCGTCTGCTGTTTGCAAAGCGCTCATGCGCTTGCATTTTACGTACTGAGATTATGGAGATCAAACTGAAACAACAATTGAATGCAGAGGTACGAACAAGTAGCAATCGGGTTTGTATTAATAAAAATAAAGTTAAACCACGGACCCTGGACATGGCGTTCAACTTGATTGAACAGAAGGCCTAGGCCCTCCTCTTGACTACCGTCACAGACTGTCGCAAATAGACGTTTTGCCATGGTAGGGAAGCTGATAAATTTTAAGATTTTTTTTCTGTTTATTTTTGAAGTGATTTTTGGAGAGGATGTTATAAGACATATTTCGATATGTTTGGATTCCATCAGACTCTGCAGTGCAAGGAAAAATTGATTTCAAGCAGGGAAGTTTTGGGAGTTTTTGTTATTTTCGTGTAATGCAGAGCAAACTGATTATTTTGTACACAAAAATGAGAGTGGATTTTAACTGCAAGCTCAAAATTCATATTTTTATAAAATCTTTGTTCATATTTGTGCCATACTTCAATGAATTAAATGCTAGCTTCACTTGAAATTTCAAAAAAAATTGAAATTGGATATTAAAAAGAGGGGCTACAGCGTGCAGAAAAGACAAATTTTAATCACAATTTTTTAAATGAGTTTCCAAATAAACAGCAGCCTCACTAATTTGTGCATATCCCTAGCAATGGCATACTTACATGTATATGGGGTGTTGGTCACCTCACCCCGTTTCCACCTCGCCCGATGTCATTTCGCCCCTAAGCGCCTACATGCTACATGTATAGGGGCCTAGGCCTAACCTCTTGCACTTTGCCCCGTTGTTACTTACCCGAGCCCCACTTCGTCCTGCCGTAATTTTGCCCCATTGCCACTTCGTCCCAGCTGTGCTTGATTGAAAACTACTGAATGACATGAAAGCTGGCAAATATGGCATCTTTTTAGATGGCATGGATTGACACCGTAGTGACAATAAAAATAATTGATAATAAAATTGGTGGAAGAAACAGCAGTATTTCTGTCATTAAAGTGTCCCCTGTAGTCTCCTGTAGATCCCCCAGACATCTTCTCTTTTATATTAGTCATTTCATTATGAAACTACATGTACATGTATTTTGCAATCAGTGTAAGTGTTGACAGGGTTGAGTACAGAACCAACTATATCTTATGGTTCCAATTTTCCCAAAACACTTACTGTGCAAGTTCATTGCCATGCTAATGAATTTGAAAGACAAGACCCAGTGGAGTGATTCATGGGCCAATTTTCTCAGCCTTTTTTATTAGCCATGCTTCAATGTGCGTACATGTACATGTTGGGCACAACTGATCAATATGAACAGTTTTGATGAATGTGTGATTGTATTTCATAATTTGTTGGTACATGTACATATAATTCTACTTTCAGCCAATTGCCTTTTCTTTCTAATTCATGTTTGTGGTTTCAAAACGAAAGTAAAGTCCAATTTTGTAGAGGATCAACTTACATTGCTGATATGCATGTACTGATTGCCTTTCAAATGAAGGTACAGTGCATGTACATGTCCAATTGTAAAGCCAGTCAAAAGTCATTTTTAGGTTTTACTTTGCCGCTTTACCGAATTCCCAGACCTGGCTAGATTTTTCTTTATTTTTTGTGAAAGTGCAGTGTTCTCCAATAAATACATACATACATGTTTGTACATGGTTAACTTTTTCCTCACCAGACTCACAGATCCTTGAGCCTGTCAGTAAATAGTGCAACCATTTTGATTTTATAATGCGCAACTTATTTTGGTAATGAATTCTTCACTACTCATTCACAGACCTTGTTCCTAAGCATGCATATACATTTGTACACTGCAAGCATTCAGTGTATGTGCAACTCCATGCTGTAACTGTGACGTGTGGATGATGTACGTGCTTCATTGAGATAATTGGACTGAACGGTGAAAGAATTAGGACTGACAGGTTGGCAGCAATCAAGATGACAGGTGTTGTGCTTGTTCTTCTACTTGTCAATGTGGCAGGATTCACTGTCAAAGGTAGGCTGTGTAGTGTCATCTACGTGTACATGTATATTAAGCCTATTGCATGGGTGTCAAGGAGGGGGCAAGGGATATGTTTCCCCCCCCCTCAAAAATTGAGAAAATAAAAGTGGGGAAAAGAAAAAAAGGGACAGAAGCATATCTGAAGTGGAAAAATGGATGAAAATTACCGGTTTACTTGAAAAAGACACTGGAACAGACCTTTCTGGTGAGTGCTTTACCTTTCTCCCTTCCCTTGGAATAAGCTTCACCGTCTTACTGGTGATGTCCATGCCCAATTACCAATGAATTTTACATTCTCTAAGAGTTGATAAGGAGAGCATGAAAGTGTTTCTCTTGTCTGATACAATTACCCAACTCATCGTCCCCTTCTTGCTACAAAATCACTGGTGAGTGCTTTACCTTTCTCCCTTCCCTTGGAATAAGCTTCACCGTCTTACTGGTGATGTCCATGCCCAATTGCCAATGAATTTTACATTCTCTAAGAGTTGATAAGGAGAGCATGAAAGTGTTTCTCTTGTCTGATACAATTACCCAACTCATCGTCCCCTTCTTGCTACAAAATCACTAGTGCAAGCTTCTGAAATGTTTCCAAATTCCAATTACATGATTAAAAACAATGGAAGCTTTTCATGCAAAATCTGAGACACTCAAGACTCAACGTACAAAATTCCGTAATTTCTATTTGGTTGTCTTTGGGCTGTGGCTTCCTCGTGAACAGTGGTTTGAGCCCGGTTATTCCATGCATGCCATGGTGTATTTGACTCTGCTGAGCTCGGCAGGCTCCATTGCAATTTGCTTTCTTCACAGGTAAAGATGACTTTGAGACTTACCAGGTCAGCCCTGCCTCCAGGCATTTAATGGAAGCTGAAGATGAGTCAGGCACTGGTGGTAACAACATGCCGGTTCCCCAGGTTAGCTATGTTGAAAACTACTTTCAGATTTTATTCAGGGATGTCTACATTGATGCAAAGTTTGCAAAACATGCGCAAGTAACAAAAAAGATGCATGCGTATTGCTTGTTAATTAATAAAGTTATCCCTCCTTTGGCTTAACATCACAACCGCAATTGGTTTACTCAACAGTTATACTCCTAAAACAGTGAGGCTGATTGGTTGGACAGCACAATCTGTAATCTGATAATCCCTATGAGGGAGAGTTAATGCAATGCACAGTAGCTGTGCATCTTTGTGGTGCTTACTAACCGACCCTACATGCCCAAAGAGTGACTTCAGTGAAGGAGGTATTTTTGAAGCAAAAATGTTGCTAGTCAAGGAAATTTTATTTTGAAAAGTTAAGAAATCATTCTTTTGGTACATGTAATTTAGTGATTAAAATGGAAGCAAAGAGTGACTGTGAATTACTTAATGAAATCAGAAACAAAAATTGTACCATTTCAGCAGTTTTCTCAGATTGCATTTTTATGATCATTAGAACTTTACAAATATGTCCTTGTGCTGTATGCCCAACAGCTAGACTTCTGGGTGAGTGGTAAGACCACTCCTCATAACATTGATGGAGGGAGTGTATTGATGTATAATTGGCTCCTCAATCACCGAGTCCAACCAGAACACACTGCCATCAATGTTACCTTTGAGGTAGGTCATGCCATCTCCTTTGACATGCTGCCCAAATAGTGATGTACAATAGACAGTACTGTATGTATCCTCCTCAATGTTCAGCTGCTCTGCCCCCTAGTTTCTGAAATTGATTTACTTGAATTACCAGTAACTAATTGAGTCTGCTATTTTTACACCACAGTTGTGTTTTCCTACAAGTGGCTGCTAAAACCACGACTGGCCATCAGTACAAAGTGAAATGATAATATGCAAAGTGGTAACCCCTCTCCCGCAGCTATCAAAACACCAGATAATTCGCGTACTACAGAACACTAAGTGAAAAAATGATCCTCTTTAGAATTAATGGGACAAATGTACATTTTGAATGAATTTGAGGTAAAATTGAAAACCAACCAAAGGGTGTTTTTTCAGCAAACTTTTGTCACCTGTACAAATTGTAGGCAAAATGACAGTGGTCTATATTTGAGCAATGGAGTGTTTTGTGATTTGTTAGCCTGATGTGGCCAAGGACTATGAACTTGTACATTGTACATGTACGGATGTACATGAGCTAGTTGAATCAGTCCCCTTTTGACTCTGTCAAGTGGCGTTTTGCTTGACTTCTCTTATAGTAAACATTTTCTGTCTTCCTAGGTTGATTTTCCCTTACTGACTTTTCATGAAGACTCGGTGAACATCACGCTTGCTAGCCACACATTTGGAATTAACGGGACAGAGATACATCCCATTGATGTCACCTGGCTGGAAAATGAGGGCAAGGTGTGTGTACTCATTGTCATGTGTACCC